CAGAGGGATCAGAGGAATCTGCCAACTCCAATTAAACCTTTCCTTAGAGCCAAAGCCAGATTCCAAAGTTCTGTATTTTTCAAAATAAAGATCACACGTTGTTTAGAGACAATCTACACAAGAGTTACAAAAAATAGTCGCCCAGGCATAAGCATACACAGGTTTGTTAATTATACACATATGGTTACAAGTGTGCTTGCAAAAAAGTTCATTGGAAATATACACAAGGCTCTGTAAATGTACACCGTGTAGTGTTACAATTCTATATTCAAACAAGGAAAATTGACAGTATGTTACATTCACTTACAAGTAGACAAAATGCAAAATACAGTTCATCTTCTGTACAAAAAGGGGAGGTGATTCACACTTTACAAGGTGAAAAGGGACTCTGATTGTAAGGAAAACTGGGGGGGGGGGCTGTACTTTTGCACTTTTTTGTTTCTTACTGTCACAAAATAAGCAAAACATTACTTTGTAAGAGTCAAAAAAACACTATTTGGAACTGAATCAGTTTTGTAGAACATTTAGAAAGGATCGCTACCGTTCAACTAGGTGACAAATAAAACCAAGCATTTATTTTTCTTTCTTTTTTTTTTAAACATTAACTAGGCTGTATAAAGAGAACATTTCCTTCAAAAGAAAAAATTTACTTCTGGTTGAAATTACAATTTACAATATACAACACTATATGCTACGACCATAAAAGGTGTGAATATACACTGAAATGCACAGGTTTTGCTAATTCTTTTTTTTTTTGTTTTCTTACCAAAAAACAGGTTTTTATGTCGATTCAAACTTCTCCACATTTACATTACAGAGGTTTACAAATGTACAATTGTACAGTCAGAAGTATGTTCCACTACTAGGGTACATTATAGATACAGATCAGACATCAAAACAAGAAAATACTACAAATTTTTATATATGTAAAGTCTACACCAAGTATACACTATATATTTATAGAAGCAAGACCAAAGCCGAGTTGGATTTTTGTTTTTTTTTTTCTGTTTTCTTTTTTTTCCTCATGCTAAATAATCAAATTTTGTGTCTCTCCAGGTGAACAGACCAGAGGAGGCAGTAAACAGGTACCCCCACCCCCCACTTTTAAAACCTCTGGGTGTTTTCTCCCCCCAAAACGCCAGCTAAGCTCCCTCCTTCAGCATGTTTATACTCACCAATAAAATAAAAACATCGGAAAGAAAGCAATTAAAAAGGTTTAAAAACTGAATTTTCTTTCTTGGTTCGTGTGTGTTTTGTTTTGTTTTTTTTTAAAACCCAAGCTATAAGTTGAATTTTTGTTCTTTTTAGTTATTTATAAACAGGGTTAAATGCGTCGGGTCGTTGAACTGAAATTCAAACTTCTGGCTGATTTTTGCCTAAAAGGAAAAAAAAATTAAAAGCAAAGAAGTGTTTGTAAAATGTTTTGTCTGTGAGGCAGATGAATTAAAAAGGGTTTGTTTGTTTGGTTTTTTTTTTCCCCGTTTGTTTTCTTCAAACCAACCACCCTGAAAGTTTCCACATTTGGAATATAGATACAACAGTGAACAAAAAAAAAAAAATGTGGCCTTCCATGTACATCTGAGACCTATGTACAAGTATTCTATACACCAGTAAAACAGCAGGGCAATTAGTTAATTAAAAAAAATAATTAGTACATGTTATGCATAATAAAATTAAAGAAATTTACAAAGGCTTTGCTTTTCTTTGTCTGTTTTTTTTTTTTTTTTTTTCTTTTTTAAGTTTTTTTTTTTTTTAGCAACCGTCGAGGTGGATCTTTAGTGTGAGCTGGGGTGGTGGTGGTTGCTGGTTGTGGGGGCCGGGGGTGGCTCTGCTGGGGCCCCCTCAGATGATGCCGTTGGGGGGGCCGCAGATGGGCCCCAGGTCCACCCCGTTCTTCATGTAGTACTTCTCCAGCTTGGCCAGGATGTGTTTGCCGTAGGTGTATTTGCGCAGGGTCGCGATGTGAGGCCGGATCTGGGAGGGTAAAAGCACAAAAAAGTGGGATTTAGGAACCTGTGCCACGTGAGGGCCGTCCATGGAGAGCTC